CTTTTGTAACAGAAGGGTTCTTTTATCATTTCAGCTTTTGGTTTTGTACTTCTCATCTGCTCTTTTCTGCCAGCTTAGCTGAGAGTTTAATTCAAAACCTAATTAGACTACATATGCTGTTTAGGAAAAAGTTCTTGGAAAAGTAATGATTCACATAAGCTTTGATATTTGCAGATAACATCTAAAAAGAAATGTGATTTTAATTGTTTTAAAGAATTTTCAATCATCCTCTTACTCAAATAAAAGTGGTTGAACGTGGTTCTTTGATCAAAAGAAAATTCTTCAGTAACAGAAATGTCAACTCTATATTCCTATCAACTACATCATCTATGTTTAATGATGAAACCCTTTCTTGATAGGCATGCTTTTCAACTAAGAAGTATTATAACCCAGCTATAATAACTATAATAACTATAGCTATCTATAACTCAGTATCATATATATATCATATCATATACATACCAGTATCATAAACCTCAAATCAGAAGTTATCAAATTATTTTTAATTTCTGAAAAACAAGAATCTGTGTGTACATGTTAAACACCTAGGATGCCAGCCAAAGTTTGCTTTTTAACAATGTTGATATAAAGAGTTGGTATTTTTTTATTTTTCTCTTTAAATATTCTAGGAGGGAAACTGAATTATATTGATATTATTTTAACTATAATGCATTACCTGGATTATACATTTCAATATTTTAATTAGCACTAGGGAAGGCCACATTTTAAACACTCTCAACTTTCACTAGGTTAAAGAAACCTGCATCAAAAAATGATGATTAGTGTCATGATCAAACATTAATAAATACATTTGCCAAGAAAGCCCTGGCCTCTGATACTTATCACAAAGATGTAAGTTCTACCTCTAAAAAAATAAAATAAAAAAAAATTGAAACCTTAGCATTTTTACGTCCTACTTAGTCATTTGACCCAGTTCTTAATCAGAAGTAGCCAGAATTTTCTTTTATTCCACAGAGCGATTGCCTGCTGCCTTAAGAATAAGAACTTGAGTATTTCCCCTGATAGAAGGCTGACAAGTCTTAATGAGGAACTGTGTCTTCCGACATCAAGTCAATACAGTTTCTGTTAATTGTCTGAATACAGTACTGTGTCACACTGCATATAAAAATGATATTCTGGAAACCAAGAAATTATAGATGTTGCCAAGGCAAATCCCTGTAAATATAACCACAAATTTATAATACGCAAAAGCAAACTTTCATACATATTTTTTAAAAATCTAAATTAAAGACAGAAAAACAGAAATGTAGATCCAGACTTTCAGTTACTCCATTACTTTAGTGATTCAATAAAGCTACAGTAATTTATTGTGCCATATAGTTAAATATGTAATACATTCAAATATTCTTCTTATATTTACTGTCTAGCCATTACTGTTGTGTGACTATCTTAACAAGGAAACAATATAGAGAGACATCAGACTTTAGGGATGGCTTCTAAGAAATAAACTGAAGATGCATTTATATTGAGACAACACTGATATTCCAAACTTCTGAACAACACAAAAAGTCTACTGACATCCTAATAATATGAAATGAATATGCATATTCATTGATACTATCAAAAAAGTCCATTTCCAAATGTTCTAAATGTGCAAAATTCTCAGCATTTTCTACAAATTTTCAAAAACTCTAATGCCATTCAATAACAAGTTTAACAGTAAGACATTAATTACAAGACAGCACTCGTTAAAAAAAAAAGAAAAAAAAAAAAAGAAAAAAAAAGACCGAGTATACTTATATATAGAAACCAAAACTCACCACATAGAATAGCTAAATGTGAACTGATAAGTCAAACAACTCCTGCCTGCAAACTTCTGCAGACTTCTGCAGTACCAAGCAATTAATTTAAAATATTCTTCAGAGATCAGGAAACAAGTAGTAGAACAAAGAATATTTTGAAAGTAACATTCATTTTCTTCTGGTTTCAGATAAATGAATAAAGATAAAACTGAGGTATAGACTCGTGCATCAAAGGCAATTTTGAGATGTACTATTTGTTACCACCAACAGTACTTTCAGGAAAAGCATAACTTGATGGACTGAGAAATCCCCCATGATTTTCACACTTTGCTGTGAGAACTGTGTCAAGGATGGGGAATGGTGCTGGGGAGAGATGGTGAAGAAGAAAGTAACACCCAATTACAAGTTTTGGGTTGAGTCTTATTCAGTGTAAATTGTACTGATTTTTATCGACTGTAATTGGTCAACCGGATGAAAAGCTTTTTTTCCTATGAATGAAGCCACCCTCCCAGAATGCTAAAGATGTCTTAAATATAAATATACTATTTAAAAAGCCTTTCATTGCATTAAGCCAAGGCTTACATACATGATTATTGAATAAAGGCAGTATTCTCAGCATTTTGTTTAAAAGAAAAAGCAGTTCACCACACAAAACATGACAAAAACCAAAAGTGTGTATCTAAGCCACATAGCTGTCAAGTTATTTTATGTTCTGATTCTTAAGCTAAGAATTATCTAAATATCCAACACTTGAAAAAAAAATGCTTACTTACACTGATTTATTTCCTTATTGAGTCTTATAAATGAATATATAAAACACCAGAAAGCCCAGCAAAACATCGCAATAGTCACTGAGTATTTGAGTTTCAAGTTTCACCTCTACACTCTTCAGAGTAGCCCATGCACAAGCACATCAATACACACGGCTATCAGATAGCTGGACGGGCCATCCGCTTCGTTCTCTCAGCCACCGGCACGGATCAAAAGGCTCCAGAGGGACCCAGAAGCACCAAGTCAGGGCGCGGGGACAGAGAGAGGCTTCTCCCCTCCTGACCACGGGCTGTGTGTGTTGCCTTGCAGCACCTTGGACAGCGGTCTCCCGGCCCACCGCTCAGCGTAGCATAGCCCAGCCCAGCCCAGTTCAGCCCAGCCCAGCCCAGCCCAGCCCAACTCAGCCCAGCCCCTCGCCGGAGGGTTCATCCCCTGGGCTCCGCGCCTCCCTGGCTAGGCACCTGCACTGCGCACCAGATTCCCTGGAAAGAGGGAAAACCCACTAAGTCACACCCTTGATTGGGGTTTTCTTCCTTTCCCCTGCTGGAATATCTTTCATTTTCAACACAGACTGGTCGGCCAAATTCTCAAAACATAGAGCAATATCATCTGGCACTCAGAACTGGAGAAATGTAGGTCGTTGGCACTGTGTTTGTCTAGCTCATTTAAGTTTCACGCAATCATCTTAATGTCAACAACTTTTTCCCCATCATTAGACAAATATTTCTTCTCATTGGGTGTCTGAAGGGAAATATTTATACAGTATACATTTGTTGTTCTGTTAATTTTCAACATCTTTTACACTACAATATTCTGTAGAGCAACTGCACACTTTGCAGTAAAGTTCAGCCAAACTAAACTGTGACACAAAAAATCACTTTAAGCAAGTAGATGTGGATCATTTGGCAGCACGGAATAGTAGGTCAATTTCTACTTAAAGAACTACTGAAATGGTGAAGATGTCCTTACAGCAGTAGACATCTATTTACATTTGACACCCTTTTTTACTTATCCAATTCACTCTGGAAATAAAATGGGGTTACATTTTCAGTAACTGAGTACATAGCATATATACAGTGAGTGTGTACATGCACAGTTTGCAACCTAGAAACAGTGGAGTCAACATTACTAATGAATTTACTTTATTCTTGTCAGGTTTAACAAGAACAAATAAATATAGCAACTTTCCTACTTTATCCAATTAGATAATGGGCTATTTCAGCTCCTACAGGGACTGTGAATTGATTTTTGTGGCAAAGATGTGCAAATTACACTAACTTATTGGTGAATGGGATTCTTAAAGCATGGACTATTACTATGGAATGATTTGAGAAGGCCCTGCTGAAGTTACAAAGTGCAGAGGTACTCTAGGCCTCCTGTTCAGAGCAGTGATTCGTGTGTAGTGTTGTGTTTCACTGCTAAAGCAGAATTTGGTTCAGACTGCTTAGTGTAGAGCTACAGTAGTTGAGATAATCCAGTTCAGGGCAGAAACCATTCACCTCAACAAGTACTGAAACGGGGAAAGAAGAATGCAGTTAGCTATTTTAGATGCTCAGGACAACACTTTTTTCTGCCCTGTCTTGAGAGATAGGCCAACTAATCTTGTGCAAAAGTAGAGAGAAGGTAACAACTACAAGAGACAAAGTAGGACCCTCTGCCTTCTAGCACAGGAAAAGAAAAACCTCTGGATCTCTCTGAGCCGTCACCAGTGGCACCAAAGAAAATAGCTGCGTCTTATCAAAACGTTGTTACCATGACTTCCCAACCGAGGCCCACCGCGCTGCCCGTTGACAGACACCCTCATCCTCCAGCTTTTCCCAGGTCCGCAGATTTTGGCAGAGCGCCTGGAGGTACCGTCCCGCTCCCCGCTCCCGAGGCGGCCCGGCGCCGCGCCGCTTCGCCGCCGCAGGGCACCGCCGTCCCCGGGACCAAGAGCCCGTCGGAACCCAGCCGGAGCCTCCGGCGTGTGCCCCTGGCCGCCGCGGGGGCACGGAACGCCAGTCCTGGGGAGCACCGGGGACACCCACAGCCCCGAGGGCCGGGCAGCACCGTCGGGCAGCCCCGGCTTCTACCGCCGCTCCGAGCCCCGCTCATTGTCATGCAGCCCCTGTCGCTGCCTGCCGCCAAGCCGCATCCGAGCCCGCTGGAAGCCGGCAGCCGAGCCGGAGCCAATCGCATATTCATGAGGAGGGGGAAATCCAGCACTACGCTCCCAGAGGACCGAGGATCACTTCTTTCTGCTTTTTCCCAAGCTTCCCCCTCTCTCTTCCTCCCTTTCAACAACGCGCTAACGGGGGCATCCCGGTCCGTACACCCCACAGCTCCGCCCGCACCGTACGAACCGCGGCCGCCGGCGCCAGGGACAGAGACCGAAGCAGGCACAACAGGGACCACGGCAGCCACAACAGCCGAGGGAGGCACGCCAGCCCGCCAGCCAGGGACAGGAAACACAGCAGGGACTCCTACCTTACAATCCTCAGGACACGATTTCACCGAGTACTCATCCGACTGTAAATATTTCTGGAGCATAACCTCAAACTCTTCGTATTTCTCCTGAGCGTGCTGGTCGTAGCGCTGGTAAGCCTGGACGCACTGGCTGCAGGAGCCTTCCCCCCTCAGCACCACATCCAGACTGCAGTTCAAAGTGTCCGGATTGGACAACCCGGCGAACAACTCCCAAAGTGTGTAGGAATTACAAAAGGAAAGGTAAAAATCCGTCAGGTCCCAGCCGGGCGCCGGGCTCTGCCCCGCGCCCGGCGGTCGCCCCGACCCCCCCCGCGGCCGGCACACCGCCTCCGCGTCCCCCACGCTGAAGCACTGCCCGGACGAGGAGCCCGGGGGGGGACACGTCTCCAGGGGCCTGGTGGTGGAGTTCCCTAGGAAAGCAGCTTTGCCGTGCCGGGGCTCGGTGCCGTTGGTGCGGCTGCCGCGGCTGCCGCCGCCGCTGCTGCCGGGGAGGGCGGGAGGGAGGGCGAGGGGGGCGAGGAGCCGGGGCGCGGGGGGCGCCGGCTCCCCCATGCCCGCCAGCAGCTCCGGCTCCGCGGGCTCCGGCTTCTCGGGCGGCGGCTGCTCCTTCTCTCCGGTTCCCGTGAATTTGGCCTCGGCGCAGAACCACAAGTGATCAGAGAGCAGGACCGTGAAAAACAAGAGCGATGCCAGGGACAGTCGCCATTTCTGAGCCCTCTCTGAATCCGTGAAGGGTTTCTCGTTCTCCCGGGGTGCGAACCAGATTTTTAAGCCGTCATCATACTGCCGACTACACATCCAAGCACCCCTGGTCATATTTTGGGAACGCACAGCCCTGGCCGACTCCACCGTGAGGGCTCCTTTGCCAGTGTCACCACAATATGCATTGACTTAAAAGATTGGGGGGATTTTCTTGCTTGCCTTCCCTTCTCTCGCTCGCTCTTTCGCTCTCTCCCTCTTCCACTCTCCCCCCTCTCTCTTTCTCCCTCTTCTTTCTTTCTTCCTTCTTTTTTTCCCTCTGAGATAATGTTGTTTTTCGCCGGTGGCTCTGCCTTGGTCTCACCACACGAAGCAGCCCCAGTCCATCCAACGCTGAGTGCCGTGGAGAAGATAAGAGCAATAACGCAGAGAGAGGAGGAAGGGAGAGGAGATGGTGGTGGTAGTGGTGATAGTTGGTGGTGGCGGGGCTGCGCGACTGGTCCTTTGCCCCTCTCACCCAGGCATGGTCAGATCGCAGCTCCCCATCTCCCTCCTGAGAAAAGCCCACTGCCCCCGGACAACCTCATGCCGCGTCCCCCGCTGCCGACGGACGGCTCCGGGAGGGCTCCTCGCCTCCTCTTCCTCTCTGCCGCCGCCGCTGCTCCTCTTCCTCCAGCCCAGAGCCGCGGCACAGATGCCTGCACCGCTGTCTTAGTCTCCTCTTTCTTCTCTCCCCCTTCGCTCTAACTGGAGAGACGCTGCTGCAAGGCTCCCGGAGCGCTGCTGAGGATGCTGAGGAGGAGGAGGAGGAAGAGGAAGAGGAGGAGGAGGCTGCCGGGGCCGCCGCCGCTGCTGGTGACAATGGGCTGCGGCTGCCGCCGCTGCTGCCGCCGGGCGCGGTGTCCCCGGGCGCACGGGGCGGAACTGCCTGGCTGGGGGCCCCCGATGGGCACAGGCATCTTGGGCCCCTGGGCTAAGTTGCCGCCATCTTCGTCCTGGAGAAACACTTTTTTGGGGGGAGCTCTGCCTTTTGCGTCATCTCCTCCCGCGCCGAGATCTCTCTATCCTGGCGCATTGGCAGCAGCAGCCACTCTGCCTCCTCTTGCCTGAGGAGGAGGAGGAGGAGGAGGTGGGAGAGGCATTGGGGACCACATGGCCCCTCCAAAGGGCTTCATCGGTGCAACTCCTTCTACTCATCTCACCGAAGGAACTGCTTGGTACCACTCTCCACCCCTCTCTCCTTCCGTTTGTGGCCATGGAACAAACACCATGTCCATGCAGGATGGTGGCTGGAGAGGTCTGTTGCCGTGTCTGTCCTTGTCATAGCAAATCACAAATGGGATATGAAACTCCGGGCTCTGCATCCTGGCCGGTTCTGGACACACAGTAAAATGCCTGATCACAGCTGTCTGTCTTCCAGTCAGCAAGCTGGAAAGGAAAATGACGATAAACCCCAAGCTGTTCCCCCAAGAGAAGCTTTGCAGAACCCTGGTCCAGCACATGAGCTGGATAAATACTACCAGTCTGTGTGTGTCCCAGTTTAGATGTCAATACCTGGAGAGAAAGACAGAGAGGTCAGGCTTAGCTCTCCTGCTAGGGTTTGATGAACCGCTGATGATCTCCACTTGTACCCACAGCAGAGATCAACCACCTTGTGTCCTTTGTCTGTCCTGAGGAACTGTTAATGGTCCTTGAACAACGTGTAAAATGCATCCCACAAGGTGGCTTATCACATTTTTTGGTCAAAAAAAGATTTTTTTTCTTAAAAAACATGACCATATATAAACTGATATAGCTTGGTGATGGTTGTCAAATTCAGTTTTGAAAGGTGTAGTGGAAAGATATCTAAAACTAAACCGTACCAGAGGAGAACAAAACCTGTACTGCTTCTGACTACAGCTGAGGGGTGAGCTTACGAAGGAATGTACTGGAATTTCTGTCACTTTGAGCAATAAATCAAGGTTAGATGTCTTTCAGAAGGAGACAGTATACCTCTAACAGAAGATGTAGATCCAAGGGAGGAATTTCAGAGAGAGGTTCTATGCCCTGTATTTATGCTGGGGATCGAAGTACATCATCGTAATGATCTCATCTGACCTTAAAAGATCTTTGAGTCAAATATTATACTGAGCAGGAGTTATCTGTTGATTTTATTTTGATAGGCTATTTAAAGACACAGAAATAAGTGCTAATATTATAAGGAAAGGTCTACAGTACTCAAATCAGAATGCATCTTTGCAATTCTTAGTCACACCATCTGCTAATGGTACATTATTAATTTTGGTCTTGGAACTTTGATTGCAATGATTTGACACACTGGGCCCCATACTGAATCTGCATTTTTTTAATGCTTTCTGTTCCAGGACAATACTGTGAGCTTTTAAAAGGAAATTAGAACAACTTGACATATCTAAAATGTAATGTCATTTATTTAATTGCCTTTTGCTAGTTTGATTATGCATTTTGTGGTAGAATAAAGGGACTGCAACAAAGAATCAGGACCAAAAAAAAAAACCAAAAACAACAAACAAAAACACCAAACCAAAAACTGCTGGGATAAGCAACAGGTTCCTGATAGCATGTTTGAGATTTTCAAAATGTGCTCTATTATGATATGTGGCAGTGGCTGCATAACTATTCTGTTTTTGACAGCCCAACTTGGGGTGAAGAGAATTGCTGTTGGAGTCTGCACCTGGCAAACAGGGTTAATTTATGCAATTTTTTTTTTAATATTGTTTCCCTTTTGTCCTGTTGAGAAAATGATAGAATAATTGGCAATTTTGCAGTGCACAAAAAAATGAGAAAAGTTCTTTATCTTCATAGTGGAAGTTCAGGAGTTGAAAATGAAAACATGCTGGTATTCAGATCTCACCCAAAACTTAATACAAAAATTAATTCCTAAGTCTGTGTTCCTCTGTTTACACTTGTCTAAGATCAAAACACATACAGTCAATCTGCTAGGATTGTTTAGATACACTTGGCTTCTCAAAAATAATCCATTTTCATGTCATGTAATATTTTCACACACTTCCCAACTTTTGCCTGGAAAAACAGTGAGAGTTCTTTTTTGACACCCAGCAATAAACTGTAATAAGACATTCAGTATTTTTGAAATGTATGCATCCTTGCTTTTCCAGCGGCAGTTTTCTGTAACAAAGAACATGTCACACAGAACTATTGTTTTGCCTGTTGTGTTTCCCCCAAAGCCCCATTCCCTCTCCACCTAGCATGGTGAATAACTTGCAATGTTAGCTGCAGTAGCTGGTTCCTGATGGATATGAACAGATGCAGTTCAGTTCTCTGGTGCCCCTTAGTGTTAGGTCTTGGAGCTCAAGGGAAAAAATAAGGCTATAAAATAATATCTGAAAATCAAGAAGCTGCATGCGGTGGAGGAAAGAATCTGAAGTATATGCTGTAGCTACTTTCTCTCAAAGTCCCTTCAACATTTTTTTAATCACAAATCTGATGTAAATAATAGACTTTTATTTAAAATACTTAACGAATTATATGAATGTGAAGAAAAGGGAAAAACTCCCTCAAAAATACCATTACAAAAGTATGTACACATATTCATCCTTCTTCCTAAATAACTCTAGTGGTACAAAATACTCGCTTCGCTTTGAAATTTCACTTTTTACTGAGAATATTTATTACTCTTGTTCCAAAGCTTGGCAAGTGTGAGGAACTCATGGAAATCTATCTCTCTAGATGGTGGAGTCACCAGATGTTTCACAGACGGATCTCCTTAAAGTAATGTAGTTCAGTGTCAGCTCTGCTGTACTGTGCTTTAATCAATACAATCAGAGCTGATGTTCTGTAATTGTTGGACTCATAATATGTAAGATAGCTGATTTATCAAGCAGTGAGGACAAAGTCCAATAGAATGAGCATGCACAAACTCAAGATACTTGGAGCTATTGTTTCACCTCCATACCATGTGTTTTCTTTGTGGAAATACTTTAGCTTAACAAGCAGAAATATTTGATATAACATTTTAGTGGTAATAAACCTGTCTGAACAGAAGGCTTTGCTGTTTCAAAGTAAATGTTCCCAAATTTCTGCCTAATATCATGCATACAGTAATTTCCTGCATTACTCTCTTGCATTACTTTGATTGTTGATTGCAAAATTGTAATATCTAAAGAGCTGTATGTAGGTCTTTCAGAAGATTGTAACTGGTTTGAGAGTCACATCTTGTCTTTGTAATGTATATTCTTTGTACAAGAAAAAACTTACTTCGTAATTGCTAAGCATAATTTCTTTTTGAAAAAAAAAACAAGTTATTTTTAAAAGAGTAGATTTCATTTTAATTTTGGGTTGACTGGTTCTACTGACAGTAGCAATTGTTGCAACAATTGCTAACAGAAATACTCAGTTAAACCCTTGCACTGGAGGCTCATCCAGCCCTTTTAATACCAAGGTAGCATTATCAGACCCTTTACTAGTTCCTCTTAATAATTTTTTAACAATTTGTATTTTAACAATTTTAAGCAATTTGTATTCTATAGGAATATCTATACGGTCTTCATAGGCAAAATGATATGTCAAGTATGTGGTTTAGCCTCCTCAGAATTGTATAGTTTTTGTTTTATTTTGACTTCTTACAACAAAGTTTTGATATTATATTGCTCATTACTTGGGAAGGAAGTCAGAGGTTTAATTATCTGAACATATTTGATAAGAATAATATCCATGATGGTGGTAAGGCACAAAGAAGTTAAGAGCACTGTAGAATTCATTTTATTTCTCATCACATCACATTGCTTATGTTTTAGATTCCTATTCAGTATTTTTCGGAAAGCTGAATTACTGTGAGAAAGCTTCAGGCATCTGGGCCTGCCTGCACCAAAGCAATGGGAAATTTATGTTAATGTTATCAGGCACAGAAGCTCCTAATCCCTGTTCGAACAGCACTAATTCAGATTTTAAGATTCATGCATACTCCTTTATTCCCGCTTTCCACATTACCTTCAATTTTGACCCTTTGTCTTGATTTTTTTCATGTTTTCTTACCAAGTTAGAGGATTAACCATCACCCTGTAAGTTATAAAAGTTTGTCAGACTGAATTTTAAAAGGCTGTGCAGTACAAAGTTCAAAGATACTGATGTTGTTGATT